AGTTATGTACATTACATTTTCCTTACATAGTTTTCCTTACATTGCTGCTGCAATTTCCAATCAAAACCATTACTTCCATATCTATCAGCAAAGCAATTCTCCAGAAAACAGACATGTTTATTACTGCTAGAAACCATTGTAAAAAGGTTTTGTCTAACACCAAAGCCTGCTATTCTCAGTTCATGAAATCTCGTATTCCATCTCAAAAATTCTCGTGACTTCTGGAGAATCTTAAATAGTATCAATAATAAGAAATTCCACCTCTCTTGTATGGTTCAGACTTTGTCACCTCACCTTATGATAAGAGCAAATCTGAAATAAGAGCAAATCTGAAACCTCTCTTGTATGGTTCAGACTTTGTCACCTCACCTAAAGACAAAGCTGAGTTGTTTGCTAAGAATTTTTCACCAATATCATCTCTTGATTCCACTAGTTGCGTTCTACCTTATATAGACATCAAACAGGTTGATCAATTGCTTGACATTTGTATCACTCCAGCATCTGTATCTAAAGTGATTTCCTGATTAGTCTCTTTTACATCTTGTGGTCCGGACATCATACCTGTTACTATTTTCCAGAGGTGTTTTTCCGAACTGTTGTCTATACTTTCAAAACTGTTTAAGAAGTACTTATCAGAGTCTTGTTTTTTTCCAGCCTGCTGGAAAGCGGCATCTGTTATTCCTATTTACAAAAATTTTGGAGAGCGATCTTACTTATCTCACTACTGTCCCATTAGTCTTCTTCCGATCGCAAGCAAGGTTTTTGAATCTTTAATTAACAAACACCTAATCTCTCATCTTGAATCTATCAATTTACTTTCTGATCATCAATATGGATTTCAATCTTCTCGTTCTATAGCTGATTTGCTAACAGTAATAAGCAATAGGTTTTATAAGACATTAGATAAAGGTGGTCAAGGCCATCGCTCTTGAGATTTCTAAAGCGTTTGATAAAGTTTGGAATGCTGGTCTTCTCCATAAACTTTCTTCTTGTGGTGCATCTTGAAACATCTATAAGATTATTGAATCCTTCCTTTCCAATCGTAGTATAAAAGTTGTCCTTGATGGACAGCACTCTTCTATATATCCTGTAACTTCAGGGGTTCCTTAAGGTTCTATCCTTGGCCTTTTATTATTTTTAATTTACATTAATGATCTTCCAGATATTCTTATATCTAAGGTGGCATTGTTTTCTAATGATACTATTATTTATTTTTGTCATGATAAGAAGCCAACACTCTCTGATTGCTTGGAGGGGGCATTTGAGCTTGAAAAGGACCTCACTTCTACTACTTCAGCTCACAGTAACTGGTGAACTTTAATTCAGATAAAACTCAATTGTTGTCAACCAATTGTTATCACAATAATTTAGGCCTTTCTATATTTATGAACAGTAATGTACTTGATGAGTCATCTACCCTTCATCTTCTAGGATTAACTCTTACTTCTGATCTTTCTTGGAAACCATATATCAAATCCATTGCAAAATTAGCATCTGCTAAGGTTGCATCTCTTTATTTTGCTCGCCACTTTCTTTCTCCCGATTTTATTCTTTTTCTTTATAAATCTTAAATTCGGCCTTGTATGGAATATTGTTGCCATATCTGGGGCAGACCTTCTAATGACACCCTTTCTCTTTTAGACAAGGTGTAAAAATGCATTGTAAACATAGTTGGACCTGCTCTTGTAGCCAAGCTTCAACCATTATCACATCGTCGTAAAACTTGAAGGTCAGCATACTTTGTTATACATCTTTTGATAAAATGAATCACAAAAAAACTGCAAATGTTATACATCTTTTGGTTAAATGTAGTCTAAATAGAGCTCCAGCATGCTTGCTACATTATCTGCTCCCTCTTTATCGTAAGTTTCGTCATGACAAAATAAGTGAGCACTGTTTGATCCTAAGAAATGTATATTAAAAGTGTACATAGAAAGCTTTCTACGATAATAAATATCTTTTGTAGTAACATTAGGACAACTCATATTTTTAGCAAAGTTAAATGCAAGAGCTGCATGGCCATTTTTTGCATTACAACATGCTTCTTTCTCTCTCGCATAAAATACCTCTGCTTTCTGCAAGTGAAGTTCTTTTTCTTGATGACTCTTGATGAGTTGTTCTACAGAGGTGTTTTGGTTTTTAAGTATTATATTAAGCTTTTCACTTGTTGAGCATGTATCTTTATGAAGATAACCAATGCTAATGTTAAATTTTTCTACAAATATTTTCCTTTTAAAAAACAGAAAGTAGAAAATTAGATAATATTCAATAATATTCTTGAATAATCACACATTGTTAAAGTACCTGTAGCTATCTTGACAGGCTTTGTTTTGTGGGAAGCACTTATTGTACATATATACATTTTTGATACCTTTAGATCGTCTGCTAAATACAGCTTAGTGTCATGTAATGCATAATAACTTTTTTGTTCTTTAAAAGACTTGATATGATCAATAATACTAATTACAACATGGTCTGAAAAAGCTAGAGGTTGATTTGTATGTTTTCCTTATTGGTTTTTAGGAGAAACTCCTAAAAACCATCAAGGAAAAACAATCAAATGTACATGCTTTATAATGTTTTATTAACTTAACTAAACCAAACTATTAACTTTCAAGCTCATATAAAATCTTTTTTTGTTGTTGTTATTTTTGAGAGAGAAACTTTTTTAAAACACATTTGTTCATTATTTATTTTATTTGAATGACTAATTAGTAAATAAATAAATAAAAAATGTTTATTTCAATTTACTTACCAGTCTTAGCAAGGGATCCTCTTATTCTTTCTATTCTTGATTTTCCAATTCCAAAAAATTGATAAAATAGCATTGATGCAAATTGGAACTCTAACAGTATTTTTATCTTGTGTCACTTTGATGTTATAAGAGAATGAGTGGTCATAAAGAAATCTTTTTTTTTCTTTGTTTAACACTTAAAAGCTCAATCATTGAAGCAAGAAAGCTTATTGATCTTATTTTGATCTTATTGATCTTTATTTTGCATTTTGTTAAAGTACAAAAGTATAAACTCCAACTCTCTTCTACTCTCCTATTCTGAAAACACATACAACACTTGCAATTACACGGAAAGCTTGTTGTATGCGAAGATAATCGTTCTGTTCTGTCTCGTTCCCACTTTCGACCAAGTTTTTTTTTTCTTTCTGGAATTTTTGTAGTATCTGGATTTTGACATTTATCCGCCATGATAAAGTTTTTTTTTTTTCATTGCCAACTATGATAAAGTTTTTTGTTTTTGTAAAATAAAATTTGATTGGGTGTTACGCAAATAGTTGTAAAAAGCGCTCCTATACAGAGTGGAGATCTCCCATTTACCCCTTGAACAATTTGGACATATCTGGTTTATTTTGTGACCTCTTTTTTCAAATAGAAATTTATATATATATATATATATATATATATATATATATATATATATATATATATATATATATATATATATATATATATATATATATATATATATATATATATATATATATATATATATATATATATATATATGTATATATATATATATATATATATATATATGAAAGGTCTAAGGGGAAAACCAGTGAATATATATATTAATCAAAATATACAGTATATAAGTTATTTATATATTATATTTATATAAGTATATATATACTTACACAAACGGATTTCTTAAAAAATACATAAAATACTGTACATATACTTACACTAATATATATTAAATTAGTATAAGTCTTATATAATAATAAGTAAAAAAGCTGTTTTCTGTTTTGTACAAACAATGAATGGAAAGTTATAAAGTGATTGCTAACAAATAGAATGGAATGTTTACTAATTTCAAAACATTTCACAGAGAAGAGAAAATTTAAATTAAAAAATTAAAATTTAATTGAATTTTGAAAAATTAACAGTTTTATACCCAAGAATTTGTAAAAATATAAGATTCTTTTTCTTTATTGTTTTTAATTTTTCGCACATCTTTTCATATTCTTTTTATTTTTAACTATTACTTATTTTAGATTAAATTAAAAATGTTTCTGTTGTTTAAGATGTCTGCAATCAAGCATGTCAATTCAACTTTAATAAGAAACAAAGTTATGTTGTCAACTTTTAGTAAATTGGCAATATATCATTGTGTTTATTTAACATCAAAGCTGCAGTACATTTTTTTTTCTGGAAGATAGCAAATGCATTAACTAAAAAACCAAAGCTTTTTCGTCTGATTTTCCAGACTTCACATGAAAGAAATTCAAACAAAAAATCGTCCACCCTTTTCCTCAAAGACTTGATACTGAGCACGCATAATCATGCTTGTTGATAACCTGTTTCAGTATTATGAGCGCGAAATACCGCGCTGGGCAATTTTATTCATCACATGCACTGTGTATATACAATTATATATGTAAACATATAAATATATATATATATATATATATTTTAAACATATATATACATATATATATATATTAAACATATATATATATATTAAACATATATATAAACATATATATGTATATATATATATATATATATATATATATATATATATATATATATATATATATATATATATATATCAACCCTTGGAATTAGGAAAAATGAGGTCGGCAATAATCTCAATCTTTCAGAGGTCAGCATCAGGTTTGCAAAAAAAAAAAATTATACAAAGGTCTTACCATAAAACATAGAAACAAGGTTGGCCGACCTCAAACACTTTTAGGTCGACATTGCCGACAATGCCGACCCTAATTCCGAGGATATATATATATATATATATATATATATATATATATATATATATATATATATATATATATATATATATATATATATATATATATATATATACATATATACATATACAAAAATATAAAGTTATATGTTTATACAGACATTTGTATATATAAAGTGTTTAATTAAGTAGCTATTTATATATACATAATACATGTCATGTATATATGTGTGTATTTTTATGTTTGTATATTTGTACATGTTTTTTTGTGTATAGCAATCCTTGCCTTACTGTTCTTCCTGCTGAGCTAAGTCTGTTGAAAAATGTATGGAACTTGAGACTCTCTGGCCTCAATATACCAGATCTTCCTTTTGAGCTTAATGGTAGATTATTTTTTTGATTTTTTTTTGTTCTCTTTAATAATAATAATTTTTATTTGTTTAGAGAAATAGTATTACTTTATACTGGATTAGAGATAGAAAAAACCCATTTAAAACTAGTTGAACTAGAGTAAATATGAAATTGACTTAATCAAAATTAAACAGAGACCTTAGACCTTGAAGTTATTTTAAAATAGAACTGATTCTAAACTGTCAATAAAACTAAGTTTATGTAATCACAATGACTTTAACTAAATCAAACTAGTATAAAGAAGTAAAATATTTTTCCCCATCTCTATTCATAGAAAAAGTTATTTTAAGTTTAAAATATAAAAATGAATTATTTAACAAATTGAATGTATTTGTTATTATTAGATAAAAATCTAGCAAAGCAAGTTATGCCTTACTTATGTGCCAAACTTCGAAAGTCCGTTTCTTTTAACAGAATGAAATTAATGGTTGTTGGTTTGCAGGTTTTACTGTTTGTTTCTAATATAATACAGCCCTTGGAGTTAGGAAAAATAAGGTCGGAAATTAATTGTCAACTTTAAACTGTTAGAGCTGGGCATCAGATCTGCAAAAAATTTAACACAAAGGGGTTACGTTAAAACATAGAAACAAGGTCTGCAATATTTTGCCAACCCCAAACACTTTTAGGCTGGCAGTTAGGTTGGCCAAATTTCGAGGGCTGATTATATATAATTATTATAAGTACCGTGACAATGTTGTATTTTTTTCAAATAATCTAACACACACACACACACATTTATTTGTATTGCATTTATGTTTTTTTTTACTTTTAAGTTAATAGTATTACAAATATTTATTCTAGCAATTTTAAATTTTTGAAAAATTGTTTTAATGACAAACCAGTTTTTTTTATGTCTAATAGGCACGAGGAAAAACAACATTGGTTGCAACACTTCAAGGAAAGAAACCTCCTCCAAACATTTCAACAGTTGGAATATCAGTTGAACAGTGGAGTCTTGCTTTGCCACAAAGACTTTCTATTAGTTTCTGGAGAGACACAGTAAACATGTTTATGCTACTCACGTTTATAATTGTTAAAATTAATAAAAAAAAAAGTTATTTTTCTTAACAGAAGTTTCTTAATCATGACAACCTCCTCACTTCCACTTTGAGGAAGAGGCTGTGATATAATAAAAATAATACATAAAGTTATTCTTTTGAATTTGAATGAAGATTGTATTTTTTTATTATTGTTTTTGTACCGCTAGTTTTTTTATAAAATTTCACTTCATTTATTTTTTCTAGTCAAACAATGAAGAGATTAAGTTTAGTTGTTGGGATTTAGCAGGTCAGCATGTTTATTATGCAACACATCAGTGCTTTTTGACTTCAAATACTCTCTACTTGATTGTTTTTAATGTAACGCATGGTCGAGAAGGGGTAGACTCGCTTGCACCATGGTTGTTAAATATACAGGTACTGAGAAAAATTTTTTTTTTGAAAAAATTTGTAAGATTTATTTTTTTAAATCTTTATTTTATTCACTATTTTGCACACAGCTTTGAGCAATTTTAAAAATTTTTTTCTCTCCAAGACTTCAAAGACGTCAAGACTTCCCTTAATGGGTCCAAAGGTCATTTTTTTGCCCATATTTCGGACTAACTGAGGGGAGTTTTATCATTATCCAAATTAATTTTTCTTTTTTTTTTTTTTTTTGTTGTTTTATCTTTTTGAAGGAAATAAAAATATAATGTTAAACTTAATTTTGTTTTTACTTGAACAATGAAGATCAAAAAATAAAAAAAAAGGGGTTTTTAAGCTCTTTTGCCCTATAATAGTGTTCTGCTTTTCAACAAGATATTTTATATAAGTCCAGAACTATAATAGTGTTCTGCTTTTCAACAAGATAATTTATGTTTACTTAATAAAATCATTGTTATGATTAGTTTCTGAAGTAATTAGTTGTCAAGTATAGTTTATGTTTATAAATTTTTACAAATGTTTATAAAATTATTTTGTAAACAAAGAGTTCTTTACATTATCATATATTTTTTTAATTGTTCTTTCACTCTTATATTTGTTTGATACAAGGAAGGTACTTTGTCTTTTAACCTCATTGTGCGATTTAATGATAAACTCCTATTAAAGAATATTTAAAAGTAATGAGTTCGTGAAATAAATTGAGATTTTTAATATAAACAGTAAGGACCAAACATAAAAATAGATACCTGAACTAGTTTTATAGCCCTCTCACTACAGTCATTTACTACTTCAACATTATTCACAAAATGTTTGAATTCTAGGTAATAGTCATTTAGATCCCATGTCTCAGATGGAGTCTTAAGCTTCTGTACTTCAGTATTTGCATGGTTTTAAAAAATTAACAAACTCTGGTCATTTATAAACGGGGTCAAACTTGGGGGAGTATCATCTTTAAACATAAGGGAGTTCAGTATATTTAAACTAACTTGATGTCTCTCTAATGGCATAAGTTGTAGGTCTTGGGGTTGAGTTCAACTTCTTGGCAATGTCACTCCGTTCTTGTGCATTTTTGTCAACAAAAGACATAACTAAAATATTTAGGTCTATGTAGCAGGTGTGTCTCTTTAGAGACTCTATAAAAGGTTTTGCCTTGACAGGATTGACTTTTGAGTATCTCACCATCTGCCAAAGAGCTTTCATATCCTAAAGACTTTTAGACTATTAAATATTACACTAAATTTTCAAAGAAAAAAAAGTAATAAAAACCAAAATATATATATATATATATATATATATATATATATATATATATATTATATATATATATATATATATATATTATATATATATATATATATATATATATATATATATATATATATATATATATATATATATATATATATATATATATATATATATTAATATATATATTAATATATATATATTAAAAATATTATCACTTCAAACAAGGGACATGAATAAAGTAGTTGTTTTTTTATTTAACAACACCACATCTATGGTAGTACAAAGGTAACGATGTAGTAGGGTTGACCTTTAAGTTATCCCTTCAAACATCTTCCATAAAGTTAAAAGGTTTTAGTGAAAAAGTGAAAATTAATGTTTTCTCAATTTTTTACAGTCTAGAGCTCCACTGTCACGTGTTATAATTGTTGGTACACACATTGATTGTCTACCTGTTGAAAGTAAAGCATCAACTCTTTCAAGGTTGAAAGATGAAATACTTATGAAATACGATAAGAAAGGATTTCCTCTTATTGCTAACTGTAATTTTGTCTCTAATATCACAAGTGAAGGTCTTGTTGATCTTAGAATTGAAATATATAACGTTGCTAAACTGATCAATGAATCTAGTAGTCATGGGCTATCCAGAAAAAAGGTTTTTATTGTTTTAAATATTTTTTTGTCATTAATGTTTTTTGTTTTTTAAAGATTTTTAACTAATTCAATAATTCAATTCATTATAAATATTTTTTAAATAAATTTTTTTTAAAGGCTCCTTTAAGTTATATTCAATTATATGACCGCATACTAAAAGAAAATGAAGCTAGGAAGGAAAAACTCCTACCACCAATTCTTAATACTGATGAAATGTTACAGCTTGCTCAACAAAATCCTGACAATGATATTTATACTGTGGAGGAGTTAGTGACAGGTAGTTTTTTAAAATTATTATTACAACTATATTTAATAATTTATTTGCAGGTAAATTATTTTTATTTTCTATATAAATTTTTTTTTCTTGCCTAGTTTTCAAAAAATAAAACTTTGTTTTCAATAGCTTCAAAATTTCTTCATGAAAATGGAATTTTATTGCACTTTAATGATCACATGCGTGAACTGAACACATTATATTTTATTGATCCATCATGGCTTTGTGAAATGCTTTCACTTGTAGTAACTGTGAGAGAGCGTAATCCATTTGTTTTAGATGGATATATAAAAAAAACAGATTTGTTATTAGTACTCAGAAATCCTCGTTTACCAGAAAAATTTATTCCTCAGGTATTTTTTCTGCTGTTTTTTTCTTCTCGTGTTTTGTGTTTAAGGAAATGCTGTTGTAGTGTAATCTATCAAAAGTTTTTATAACTATGGTAATAATATTTTTGGAAAGTTCAACTTGTTTTGAAGTAGATTTTACATTCTATATCAATACAACCATGGTTGTATTTAAGTGGAATCAATTCTGTTTCTAGTTTTTTGCATCATACTACTTTTGTTGTCATAGTTACTTTAAAATTTTTTTTAGTATTTACGCTTACTTGAAAGATTTGAAATTGTGTTACAATTGGATGATGAGAGATTTTTGATTCCTTCAATGCTTCCAATTAAAAAACCTGATGATGTTGATTGCATTTTGCAATTTAGTTATGAAAATATTAAAAGAAATTATTTCATGCACTACATACCACCTGGATTTTGGAGCCGACTTATTGGTTAGTGTGTGTGTGTGTGTCTGTGTATATATATATATATATATATATATATATATATATATATATATATATATATATATATATATATATATATATATATATATATATATATATATATAAATATATATATATATATATATATATATATATTATTTCCGCATGATTTTGATGTCATTAAATTATCTTTTTTTTTTAATTTAAGGAGACTTTTTTAACTACCACAATAAAATAAATTACTGCAAAATAAGTTTATTTTATTAATTAAGGAAAAAGTGTTATTTTCTAAATAAACATATTCTGAAATGTCTAGTTTGTTTCCTTGTTTTTTTTTTAATATTAAACAATTAAACTTTAAGACAAGTGGAAGCACAAAGGTGTTTATTTTTTAATAAATGGTACTTGGAAATTTAAATCTTTGTTTGTCACAAAAGCATGGTAAAGTAATTAACTTGAGTTTTTTTTTTCTTTGTAACAAGTAATACTTTTTATTTGTTAATGACTTTTTAAAAAGTAAAATATCATTATTTGTATTGTTGCAATTTTAAAAATCAATGAAAAAAAATAAAAAAGAAGGTATTTAAATTCATTTATACAAATGTTGAGAATTGCAATTAATTTATGTCAAATGATAGTAAAATAATGTAATATTAAAATATTAAAAAATGTAATATTAAAATATTACATTTTATACACTCAGCATTTGTATAAATGAATTTAAATATCTTCTTCTTTATTTTTTTCATTGTTTTTTAAAATTGCAACAATACAAATAATGATATTTTACTTTTTAAAAAGTCATTAACAAATAAAAAGTATTACTTGCTACAAAGAAAAAAAAAAACTTAAGTTAATTACTTTACCATGCTTTTGTGACAAACAAAGATTTAAATTTCCAAGTACCATTTATTAAAAAATAAACACCTTGTCTTAGAGCAAAAAAGTTAAACATACACTTTATGAATATTTTTGATGCAGTGTTATAAGTTAGTAGATGTTTACAAGGAATTAATTTTTTTGTAAAAAATAAAAAAACAGAAGAAAAAAAATTGTGAAAAAAAAATTTAATTTTTGTAAATGACTTTTTTATTCAAAATTTTTTCTAAATTATAAGGAAATTTCTGTTTTTACTTTTTTGATATCGCACAATCTAAATTCATGCAAAAAAATTATCCTTAAAAAAATATATCCTTAAAAAAAACTTTCTTAATTATAAAAAAATAAACTCTTTATAAGATGTTGTTAGAGGTTTTTAATGTTTTTTCGTTTATTTGATAAAATCAATCATTATAACAATACAAACAAACAAAAATTGAAATATCAAAAGTAACACTAATATAAAATAAAATTTAATGTGAACTATTTTCTAGCTAATAGTTTTTTGTTTTGTTTTTTAATTTTTTAAAAAAATTTTAAAATAAGGTTTAAAGGCTTTAAAACAATATATTTAAAAGATGATATTTTGTATGAGAGAATATATATTATTTTAAAACATCAAGAACAGTTTCTTTTAATACTAATAATTTATTTCTATTAATATAATATTATATATATTTTTTTGATGTTTTAAAATTTTATATATATATATATATATATATATGTATATATATATTTGTACATATATATATATATATATATATATATATATATATATATATATATATATATATATATATATATATATATATATATATATATATATATATATATATATATATATATATATATATATATAATTTTAAAACATATATAGTTTTTTTGGCATACCTGTCTAAAAGTCCTCACTACGTTAAGAGGACTTTTTTTTTTAGAACACAAATTTAAAAGATTTATATATAAATATAACTCGCCCTTATATTTTATGTTTTTCAAAATAAAAATTTAAATAATTAACCAAAATGATGTCAACATCGATTGGACGCCATTTTGTTTAATTATTTGGAATCAGTTTCAACTTTAACTGCCATAGCACAGCTTTTTCGTGCTTAAAAATGGCAATATTCTCTTCTAGAAAACATGATTGACGAATTCTTTGTATTAAATGTAATTCTGGAAGATTGCATTTAGTTATAACTCAAGTACAATCTAGTTCGTTAAAAGGTTCATTGTGCTCATGGTATTTGGGGCATCTCTTTTTTTTATTCTTCCTAATAGCTAGAACATAATAAAATATGTACTAAACATATTTAATGAATAATATCAAACAGATAATAATTTAAATAATTTGATAACAGAAAATAATTTAAAACATCATGATTTGTTGAAGTGGCTGTCTGCAGACCATTTACTGCCAAAATTAATTTAAAATCAGCTACAAAAATAAAAGGAATCTTATCTATTTATTAGCTTAAACAGCAGTTTCATATTTTTTGCTAGGAAGGCAAGGCAAGGAAGGCTCAGTTTCTCCAACTTATTGAGCTCCTCAGTTTCCTCCTCATTTAATTCACGATTTAACTCTAGGTGATAACTTACTGATAAAATTGTTGCACAAATTTTTAGAAAGTCTTAACTTCCATTAGTTATTACCTAAATTAAACAGATTAACTTCTGAAATTATATTACAAATTAAAATATAATATAAATATAAAACACAATGATACCTTAATCTATACTTTTTCTTTAATCTCTCTAGCTCTCATTTGGACATCCACAATATCTTGTAAATCTGCCCAACAAATAGTTTTTTTTTTCTTTTTTTTATATTCCCCTTCAACTGCAAACATATCTTCTGTAATCTGATATAACCTATTAAAAAAATTAGATTTTTCTGATGCCTGGTCTCTGTTATAGGCAGGAACAGCCTTTTTACCTATATTGGATCTAATAAAATTAGTAAATTTTTTTGATGACATTTGAAGATATTTCAGTTTTTACCTGAAAGTTATTCAAGCCTTAGCTTGTAAAACTGATTTTTTCGGAAATTTCAGGTTTTAAAACAATTTAGAATTTGTATCTGCCTTTTGAATAAAGTTCCAAGTAGATATTTTTTTACTTGAATCTTTTTGATTTTCTGCTTCAGTTTTCAGTAATGAAGTTATTAACTAGTCTTTTTCATTTTCCAGTTTTGTTTAAAATCTTTTCAATATTTTCTGCTGATTTTATTTGCTTGCAATAATGGGACAGTCCCATTCTAGTCTCTGATTTGCAATACAAACAAATGATTATTGAATGTGTACTAGATCTAACTTAATTACCTACTTATATCATTTTTTTCATAAATATAAATATAAATATATATATATATATATATATATATATATATATATATATATATATATATATATATATGTATATATATATATATATATATATATATAAATTATGACAAAGCTTATAATATTTACCTGAACAAGATTTTTAAGAAACCTTCCTAATTCCGGCAGCACCAAGTAAACTACTGTCTTCACTAACATTAGAAGTCAAGCTTCTTTTATAACCCCTTCCTTTAACAACGGGTCGATGACCAATATATCTTGCTGTGATGCATATATAGCAGTTGCATTGCCTATCTGCTCTAGTTCTAGTTTCTTTTATCAATAATATGTCTTCATAGTTTGGCATTTTAGTCAATTTTCTATTTTTAATATTTTTGTCTTGCTCATTTAGTGTTATTTTGCAGGTACCACATATACTGAGAGGATATTTGCTGTTTACTGTCTGAATTTATCTTAAATCTTATTTTAAAAGTTTTAATTTGTTTACCTATCTTTTCTGCGATTGCAAACTGTTGTGACTTTTTTTTTTTTGAGATAACTTTATTTCTACATGGTGCATACTTTTAATCTAGATTCATAATGATTTGCTGATTTGTTTGGCATATCTTTCAAAGAATAATACTTAATACTTATTTATAAAAAACTAAGTTCATAATTTGCCTAAAAATAAAAAACATGTCAAAAGTAAAGAATTTATTTTAAATGCATTATTGATATCATAGTTATTACTTCTCACATTTATTGTCATTTCGCATTACAATTACTTCATACAAATTCATAATTTTATTAATTTAGTTCACAAATGATCTAGTAATCTTATTCGGTATTTAAACCGGACATCAAGCCATTCCAAGATATGTGTGCGGTTTTTTATCTTGTATGACCACACGCGTGTATTTTATTTTAGACAACTTGGTCAGGGCAAGTTTTATAGTATTATTCATTGCGGAAAAAACTAAGTTTTAAAAACAAAACTAAAAAAAATTGGAAATAAAAAGAAATTTAAATAGAAAAAAATTAAAATAAATTAATAATTTAAATAATTTGTGTACTATTTTTATTTTTGTTTTTTAGAGTGGTTGTTATTTGTAGCAACAAAATTAGATAAGGCAAAGCAAAAAAAAAAAGTTGAAAGTCTACATTAACAAGAATGATTTTCCTTTATTAAGCGAAAATATAAAATGCAATATGTTTGTAAAATATATTTGTATAATTTTAATATAACAAAAATATATTGTCTTTTTTGAAAATGTCTATGTAATAAATGTGTATACTTTTATGTATAACTTTTTGTATTATATAATTATTATTATTTCCTCCTAATTGTATGCATGTTTAGCTTATTTGGATAAGGCATAGACTCTGTAAACGGAGTGTCCGTGGTTCGAGTTTAACCTTTTCCTAATTTTTTTTTTTTTTTACACTTGCAAAGCTGAATGTTAAAAAGAAAGGTTATATGAAACAATTAAGGCTATGAGTGGACAACATGGCCTAATTGAAGCCTTAAAACTGTGTATATATATATGTGCGCTTTACTTAAAAAAATATGCTGAAAGGCTTAAATGGTATAAGAAATCTGAATGTGATGAGATGTGTATCATTTAGAAACATAAAATAAAAAGATTTTTTATATACCAATAAGAAAAGATAAATGGTTACAAAAAAAACATATGACCTGCAATATTTAAAAGAAAAAAAAAATAGACAATGTGGGAATCGAAACATGGGAATTCTGTGTATGAAGATAATGCTATATCTAAATGCGCTAAATGTGCATATACTAAGGAT